ATGTTAGGTAAACTGCTGCTAATTGACTGAGAGATGCAACTATAAATATTACCAGAGGATAATATGCAAGAGGTCCCCGACCTACACAATTCTGCATTTACTTTACATAATGTAGTTTTCACATATAGTCTTTTTCTTGCATTGTATTTCTTTTTTCTATAGGAGTAGTGTTGTTAGAATCAAATTCTTGTAAGTACGCCAGAACTTTAGTGTTCCCTCTAACATTTATGTAATAAGTTTTTCATTTATTTTTAAAATTTTTGGAATAGATGAATGCTTGTGTAATTCTATTTGCTCCCATTCATCCATTCCACCATTATTGCAAAAAGTCCTCTTCATTGAGACATTGAAGAACCCAAAAAAGAAAGTGGTAATCCTTGTTTTCCTAACAATTTTCTATTAGGACTGATTTTCTTTTTCGGTCAAAAGAATAAATTTGGTTACTTTCAATTTGAGTCAAGAGACTCCACTGTTAAAAAAACAGCCAAACAACAACATAGCTAATAAATGAATAAAGTGATCATTTCAATCCATTTTAATTGGACAATAATACTCTTCCTTATATCTATATAACCTACCCCCACTTTCTCTTCTCTCTTTCATCTCTAAGATCGGCACCTAAATTTGACAAAACCCGTATTTAAGTCTTAAGGGCTCAAGGTGCGAGAGACTTCCAAAGAGTAAGTAGATTGCCTTGTGGTGGTTTTTTGAGTTTATCAGCCCCCCACGTAATAAGCTGTTTTGCGAGTGAGAATCCACCGACTCTAGCTGCTCATCAATCACATGGAAAGCAATGGGTCCAAGATATTGCTGAAGGATTTGAGTTCTTTCAAGTGGATTTTTCTGATTGCTACTAATTTTTAGTCATTTGCTGATTGGTAATTTTATTTACATTACATTAAACCAAATTAATAAAAAAATATATATGACCAGTGAAATGTAATTTTGAATGAAAAGTTTTAAATTTGATTTCCAGATTCTTTGTTTGCAAATCGGTTGGTAAAGGGTGATGAAGTCGCCATTGTACAAGAAATTCTCACACTGCTTGGTATTCACTGCGACGTTAGCATTGCTATTGAAATTTCTCGATACTCTTTACATTTAATGAGGGCTGCTATATCGCCTGCACAAATGCGTCATTAACATCCAACTAACTGAAAATAAAACAAGGCATTGGAACTCTATCTGCAACAAATGGAATCGAAAAGCTTATCATTAAAAAGAGTAGAATTGCATATTGACAGTGTGTCTGTGAGGAATGCCTGCTCCTAGTACTTGATTCGACTAGTTTGGGACCGTGAAGAGAGAGAAGGTCAACAGTCGAATGAGTCTATAATGGTTGAAAAACTACAGAGGTTTCAGGAGTTGTATTTCGTAGGGTTTCAGGCATATTAGCATCTTTACGGTAAGAAGGGCATAGAGGTAACTTACTGGAAGCATAGTTTTGGGAAAAGATTGGGAATGTTGGGTGGTGTGTTTTTTAAGAAATGCCTTGAAAGAAAAGCAGTTTCTTTGCATCCTCTAATGATGTTCCATTTATTTAGGCAGATAGGGAGTAATACACAGCCAAATAGTCTGTCATTTTGAGGTTTCAGAAGTTTATTTGCTGATTTTGGTTCACCCATATCATGATTAGTCGCTTGCAACACATCTATACATCAGAAGTCATCAAGTACCTTTGGCATCTCTATTAATTCTTTCCTTCAGCAATATGAATGGATTGAAAACTACTAGTACAACTCTGATTATGAAACTTTGTTTTGATCATCTCTAACCCTTGTGACAGAGAACTCCTTTAGATATATTATCCACTTCCCATATGAAGCTTCATCATTCTGTAACCATTTATCAACACCATGCATTTATAAACTATCTCAGGTTCGACTGTTCTTTATCACTTTTCTCAAAATAGAACATCTTAATCCTGTCACAAAAACTCTATCATTGTTTCAAAATTACAACATGATTTCTTTAATTGAATGTCAAATTTTGAGAGAACGAGTATGCTCTCCTTACCAGATAGTGATTTACACCCTCTTATTCTTTTTTTTTTTTAACCAAAAAAAAAAATAAAAAAATAAGAGGGTGTAAATTCTTCAATTTGTAGCAAGCCACTTGTTCTTATTTTTCATACGATTTGTGCCAAGCTCTGTGCTGATGCTAATATTCCGTCTTCATTTTGTGCTTTTCCCCTGGAAGAAGCCGTGAAGCAGACGTACCACAGACCTCTCAAAGCAGCAGCTGATTTTGGTTACTAGAAAGGAAGTCCCTAGCAAGTTCTTATATATACATCTTTCGGGAAAAAAATGTTCTTATATATATAGGCACCCTGGCAACCTCTTATCTCAACTATCAAACAGATTCACAGCAAATAAATTGTCCCCAAAAATCAAGGAATGCAAAAAGTGCAACAAATGTGCAATTTTTGCCTAAAGTAATTTTATGGCAGTCTATTATTTAGAACAATTGAGCTCAAACACTGTTTCTGGTGCACATTGTGCAACTCAACAGAATGTATTCCCTTTTCATGGACCATAAATGTCCATATAAAAATCAGGATTTGGATTGCTCAAGGAATGAGTGGTTAAGGATGTAACTGTTAATAAACATAAGATTTTAGGGCAGCCTATTTGCATGTTGGTTGACCTGAGCTGCAACTTTAAATAAGTCTGGAGAAATTCTTATTTAAAATCTACTGCTGCTATCGGGATTTCTTATTCATAGCATGCAAACACGTGCTGGTTGTTACATGACTCTCTTAATACAAAGATTGAGGAAAAAACAAAAAAAGAGAATGAGCAAGTCATTTAACTAGCAATTGTATGACAAGTCAATTTTTATTTACTCAACATCACGGACCTAGTAGAGGAGCAAATTGATGCTGCTACAAAAAGATAAAATCTGATTCAAATTGGCTTCTTATCTTAAAGAGTACTAAGAAATGAACATCATGCATTTAATTCAAAATGTAGTCTTTTTGATTGAAATTTAGATTGCAAATTGTGTTTATTTATCCAAGAAAGGGAGTCTCAAAATGGGCCAATGGGTTAACTATTAGTACAATTATTCCTTTAAATGCATTTACTTCCTATTAGATCACCAGTTTAACCATTTTCTAAAAATATTGTGTAAGAGTCATCTATAAGACTACTACACTAATTAAAGACCATATAATTAAGCGTTAATAGAAAGTCATCAAAACGGGCATCATATTCAGCAACTGACAAATTCATTAACATCCCATAAATGAGAGAACGATTTATTTGAGTAATATGCAAACGGACCAAATTTAATTCATATAAGTTACTGTATATAACTAAGCTAATAAATTTCCTTGAATATCAGACCATAAAAGAACGAACATATAAGCGGTTGCATATAAATTAAGAGAATGCAGACGCCGAAGCATAACCCAGCATGTTGGATATATTTGGATGGTGGTGGTTGGTTGGTTGTAGTGGTGGCCGCCAGTGGCTGGTTGGTTGGAGTGGTGGCTGCTGGTGGGTGGTTGGAGTGGTAGCATTTTTCTTAATTTAGTACATGACAGTAGCCCAATTAGTTATTGACTGAAGTTGATTCTAACACAACGGAGGTAAGGTTAGTTTTATTTTTAGCAAAAATTCAAGTAAATTTTCAAATGTAGATTTCTATAATTATGGCAAATCATAAAGGACACCGTCTGAGCTATGGGACAATGACAGAGAAGCCTCCGGAGTCTATTCCAGAGCGTATGTTGACAAACCACTTCGAGAAAGAAGATTCCCTGCTGTAGCAATCAAGGAAGAAAGAGCACTATTTTGACCCGCTGTTAGAGCGTAATGTCACGATCCGATTCCTAACGACGCCATGAGCATAGAAGATACGCATGCTGGTTGGCTAAGAACATTCATTGACTGGGAATGGTTCCAGGGAAGGGGCGTGCAGGACCACAGGATGGTACCTCTTCAGAGTTCAGGCAGGTCGACTCGGTTCAGTTCGAGATGCTTGTCGCTGGTCGTGGACTTGACTATGAAGAAGGGAGTTGGCCATCCCTGCACAAACTGGTCGGGAGCTGGAGCCGTTCCCCTGACGAGGCCATGGCAGGCCGAAACCAGTCAGCATGTATCCTTGGGAGGGCAGGTCGTGGTGGCTGACCAGGGCGCTTGCGCGAGCTGAAGCAACGCCTTGGTGCCGCACGGGCCGTGCCGCTGCGCCAAATCTCTAGGCCTGTGACAGTAAGCAAGGCATCTTTTGGACTCTGTAATTTACCTTTAATTTATCAAAGGGTAAGTGAACAATAAAATCTCAGCCCTCTGCAATGATAGATAATCCAAAGAGAATAAATAAATAATTACAGAGAAAGTTTTGAGTTCCATCCAAATAAGGCAGAAATTGCAATAAGGGGTAATTTGTTTCAAAATTGATAATACATAATTTATATGCATAAAATAATAAGTAAAAGTGGTTCTTGCACATTTTATATGCAGTGGAGGTGTTTTTTTTTGGACTTTACACTACTTTGTATTAAAGTGCATCTAAAAATTAAGGATAAAAATGTCAATTCACACATGTTAGACAATAAGCAGTAATTTGGAGTATAAGTAAAAATTAAAAACTAAATATTTTTTCGTGTGACATAAGATCTAAGTCATCCTAATTTACCCTAAAAGATAAATATATAATCCTAATTAAGACGTGATAAATTTTTTTTAAAAAGAGTAAAAATTGTGTTAAACATCATTCAAGCTAAAATGATAATTTAAAAAAAAAAAAAAAAAAAAGATTGAACAGAATAAAAACATGCCATGTACTCCTAATTCATATTACCTTCGTCTCAATATAGTTGTCCCCAAAGTTCTCAAAGCCCGTAACGATAGCCGATAATTATATTGAAACTGAGGGGAGTATATTTTTTATTTTATATTTTATAGGAAAGGGCAAATTGGTATTTGAAAGTTTTGTTAAAAGGCAAATCTGAAAGTAATGTGGACTCCTTGCTATTAACAAGTTTTGGTTGTAGCATTGCGTAAATTTATTGGAAGTTTCTTAGTTCTGTGATTGCCTGGAAGATGCTCCCGCTTTAGCCAAACGGAGTTGACTTGACTCTGAAAGTAGCTGCTGGGTTCTCTTATCACTTTCCAGTTCCAGATCTAGCGATAGAGATCTAACCATCCTGCATATGATGGGGTTCGTATCTGAAATGGATTTAGAGGCATGTCCAAGTAAGTGGAAAATCGAATCTGAAATGGATTCTGAGGAAGGTCCAATTACTCCTTTGCGCTCTTCATCCAAGTCCCTTCCTCTTCCGGGCGGCGAATATGAAGTGTTCTTGAGTTTTAGAGGCTCAGACACTCGTTACGCCTTCACCGATTTCCTCTACACCCATCTCAAATGTGTTGGAGTTCGAACCTTTCGAGACGATAACGAGCTTCGCAGAGGAGAAGAGATCGGATCAGAGCTTCACAAAGCAATCAGTGAGTCACAGATTTTAATTCCAATATTCTCCAAAAACTATGCTTCCAGTAAATGGTGCCTCCGTGAGCTAGCTCAGATGGTGGACCACAAGAGAACCACCGGTCAACTCATTTTGCCCATCTTCTACGATGTTGAACCATCGGATGTGAGGCATCAATCTGGGACTTATGAGGAAGCATTTCGCGAGCACGAGAGGTGTTTCGATGAAAGGACTATTGTGAAATGGAAAGAGGCACTGAAAGAGGTTGGAGCACTCAAGGGTTGGGAAGTCAACAAAGAAGCTGATGGGTATGTTAATTCCTTCCTTCTTCCTGCTAATGAAGCCCCTTAAATTTGTAAATAAATTTGTAAATGGGTAATGTTTGAATTCAAGAAATTACAATCAATCTAGGTAATTTGAAGGTTATTTTAGTTTACTGAGCTAGCTAGTTTCTAAAACAACCCAAATTCAGTATTTGATTAATAAATGTTTAAATTACCGAATGATGATTACTTAAATAAATAGTTCAAAGAAAGAAGTAGAAGTGAATTGTCATATTTCTTTCCTATTATTGTATTTACTTTGATTTTTTCCTTCTACGTACTAATTATATGTTCTGTTTTCCACCTTGATATCAATCAGGTATCAAGGAAAACTAATAAAAGACAAAATTGTTCCGACAGTTTTGTTTGAGTTAAAGAAGAATTACATGGTTTTAACTGAGAACTTGGTTGGAATCAATCACCACGAAAATGAAATGATGAGATTATTAGATGTTGACTCTAATGATGTACGAATTGTTGGTATCCATGGCATGGGCGGTATTGGCAAGACTACCATTGCCAAATTCATCTACAACAAACTCTTGGATTGCTTTGATTGTAGTAGCTTCCTTGCAGATGTTCGAGAAACAGTGCAACAGCACATGGGGGGTTTCGGTGCTTTGCAAAATAAACTTCTCACTGATACCCTAAAATGCCAGTATGACATTCCTGATGTTCATCGAGGAATCACCATGATTAAACACAGTTTTTTCAGAAAGAAAGTTCTCATTGTTCTTGATGATATGGATGAAAAGTCTCAATTTGATTGGCTTGTGGGAAATTGTGATTGGTTTGGTGCCGGAAGTAGGATCATTGTTACAAGTAGAGACAAACATGTTCTTAATGCTCTTAAAGTGAATGCATCTTATGAACCCCCATTTATGAATTCGGCGCAATCTCTTCAACTTTTCAGCATGCATGCCTTTAGAAGTAAGTTTCCTCCAAAAGACTATGACACTATCGCTGGAGAGGTTGCATCCACTGCTGCAGGGCTTCCTTTAGCTCTTGAGGTTATAGGTTCATTTCTATCTGATAAGGAGTTCGTGGTTTGGGAAGATACACTGAAGAAGTTGGAGAAAATTCCTCATGATGAAGTCGAGAAAAAGTTGAGAATAAGTTATGATGCATTGAATAGTGAACAACAACAGATATTTCTTGATATTGCATGTCTTTTCTTTGGAATGGATAAAGCAACTGTGTTTTACATGTGGGATGATTGTAGCTATCATCCAAAAACAGAATTTAGTGTCCTTTGTCTCATGTCTCTTGTAAAAGTGGGAGATTCTAATGAGCTGAGGATGCACAATCAGCTTAAAGCTCTTGGGAGGAAAATTGTCTATGAAGAAAAGATTCCTGGAAAGCGTAGTAGGTTGTGGAATCATGAGGAAGCCCTAGACATTTTGGAGGGACGGATGGTAAGATCTGAGTTCATTGAATTTTATACCCCTTATTTTTAAGCATATTAGGCTGTAAGATCTTATCCTAATATGTTGTCTAAGTACCATTTTTTTTTTTTTTTTCATTGCAGGGAACAGAAATGGTTGAGGCCCTAAGTCTTCGCTTTGAATTAGGGTCTAGAATCAAGCCTCGCTTTACAAATGAGGAATTCACAAAACTATTATGTCTAAGGTATCTCCGAGTGGATGGCGTGGACCTTTCTGGGGATTTTGAGAATCTTTTCTCTCAGTTAAGATGGCTTAATTGGCGTGGGTGCCCTCCATACTTTAAACTAACCAACTTTTATATGAAGAATCTAGTTATTCTTGATCTATCAAATAGTGGCATCACAGAAGACTGGGACGGCTGGAATCATATCAAGGTCTTGCAGAATATCTCTACTTCTTTTTTCCTTGTTTCCCAGCATAAACTTGTTTAAAAATAAAAATTTTATGTCATTATTTTTATTAACAGATGGCAAATAAGTTGAAAGTCCTACAACTGGCTAATTGTGCTTTAAGGAGAACTCCAGACTTTTCATCATATGCAAGTTTAGAGATATTGATTCTTCGACGCTGTGAAAGTTTGGTCGAAATTGACCAATCCATTGGCAACATGAAGAATCTAAAAATTCTAGACATTTCATATTCTGATATAAGGAGGTTACCTGATGAAATTTGGATGTTAGAGAAGCTGGAAGTGATAGATTTCACATGCTCTAGTTATTTGAGAGGTGACATTCCTAGTAATATGGGAAGACTATCATCTCTTAGGTTCTTGAGCTTTCGCGATACTGAAATTCAAAGCCTACCAACAAGCATGGGGGAGCTCTCTTGCCTCCAAACTCTTAACTTAGGGGGCTGCACAGAGCTTCAATCACATCCAGAGCTTCCCTCAAGTTTAAGGGTTCTGTATGTTGCTTCTATCCCTAATCTTACAAATCTGGTTAATCTGCAAGAATTGCACTTTGTTGGGGGTGAGTATGTGGAGATTCCTAGAGATATTGGGTTATTATCCAAATTGGAGAAATTGACCTTGGATTCTACCAATATTAGGACCCTGCCAAAAGAGATTGGTGACTTTTCTCAGCTTAAGGTGCTCAATGTACGATTATGTGATGATCTTCAATGTATATTGGGGTTACCCTCAAGTCTAGTTGATTTATCTCTTGCACTTTGTGATTCATTGGAAAGGTTGCCGGATCTGTCAAATTTGAAAAATTTGTTGAAATTTTCGCTTAATACTTGTGTTGGGCTGACAGAGGTTCAAGGGCTTGGAAACTTAGAGTCGTTGACAAGTTTGGACATAAATGCGTGCGATAAGCTAGCCAACCTTGAAAAGATGCGAGATCTTTCAAATCTAAAGAAGTTAGAGATCTTATGTATTACTGATTGTCTTGAACTTCTTGTGATCCAAGGACTTGACAAATTGGAATCACTGAAATATTTGGATTTGCATGATTGTGAGAACTTACTTGAGATTGAGGGTCTTGATGCTTTGGAATCTGTGGAGGTATTGAACCTGTCTGGGTGCACATCACTGGGAACAAAACCAAATCCGCCAAATGCGCATACCCAACAGTGCAAAGATCAGATTTATTATCATGCCGATTCAATGTACAGGTATGTATGTATTTCTAATATTGGCTGGGAATAATATTTTTATGAACTATGTGATGGAATTCCATCATCTCTCTTTTGCTGAGTTATTGTTTGGTTTCTGCAAGAAGGATTTTTCTTGGTTCCTTGCTAATAGTCTTTTCCTTGTGTATCAGTTCAGGTTATGATTGGAGAAAGTTCATGAAATGTTCAAAATGAACATCACTTATCAGTAAATTTTTGAAAAAAAAAAAAACATCATCAGTACTTGCTGCAAGTAGTATCAAAAGTATTACTCCTAAATTCCTAATTAACAAGAAGGGGAAATGGTCATGTACATGAATCAACAACCAAACTACTAGCCTCTGAAGGATCTCCCAAATGGTCATTTAAATGGGTTATAGGAGCATGTTAATTTTCTTGGTGGTCAGTTTCATGTACCAGTTTTGTCATGTCTGCCTTTAATTCTTCATCTCACTAATCTGTGATGGAATGTTGGTTATGATAAAAATGGTATTGAATTCTTAAACCTAGAGATTCAAAGCTTAGTAAGGTGGTTTTAAACCTCCATCTAAGTGCTTTTCTGGAATTGAATGTTATTCAAATTGATAGTAATTATCTGAAACCTACTTGGGCAGTTATCTGAAACAAAATTAGATTATTTGACGCTAAAAAGGATGGTAACGAGGAAATTTAGAATATTTTGAAGTGTAAAATATTTAATTTTAGTAATTAAATATTGATAGTAATTATCAATATTTATTCAAATTGATAATTAGAATATTTAATTTTATTCAAATTGATAGTAATTATCTGAAACCTACTTGGGCAGTTATCTGAAACAAAATTAGATTATTTGACGCTAAAAAGGATGGTAACGAGGAAATTTAGAATATTTAATTTTATAGGTATCAATTTGAATGTTATTCAAATTGATAGTAATTATCTGAAACCTACTTGGGCAGTTATCTGAAACAAAATTAGATTATTTAATTGAGAAGGATTTTTCTTGGTTCCTTGCTAATAGTCTTTTCCTTGTGTATCAGTTCAGGTTATGATTGGAGAAAGTTCATGAAATGTTCAAAATGAACATCACTTATCAGTAAATTTTTGAAAAAAAAAAAAACATCATCAGTACTTGCTGCAAGTAGTATCAAAAGTATTACTCCTAAATTCCTAATTAACAAGAAGGGGAAATGGTCATGTACATGAATCAACAACCAAACTACTAGCCTCTGAAGGATCTCCCAAATGGTCATTTAAATGGGTTATAGGAGCATGTTAATTTTCTTGGTGGTCAGTTTCATGTACCAGTTTTGTCATGTCTGCCTTTAATTCTTCATCTCACTAATCTGTGATGGAATGTTGGTTATGATAAAAATGGTATTGAATTCTTAAACCTAGAGATTCAAAGCTTAGTAAGGTGGTTTTAAACCTCCATCTAAGTGCTTTTCTGGAATTGAATGTTATTCAAATTGATAGTAATTATCTGAAACCTACTTGGGCAGTTATCTGAAACAAAATTAGATTATTTGACGCTAAAAAGGATGGTAACGAGGAAATTTAGAATATTTTGAAGTGTAAAATGATTGATATTGGAAACGTAGAAAAAATTTCGACTGTCCGAAGCCTAAAGTGGTTGGTCATTTGCAACCTAGTACTTTTAGACTATTTAAATGCTTTAGGTTGGTTTGTTCTATGATGAGTTTATATTACTTTTTCCCTTTTTTTCTTAATTAAATTAATTGAGACTGATTCATGATACGCAACGTACTTTATTCACTTTTCACCTTTAATTTTATAGGTATTGGACAGCTTTGAGAGAGGAAAGATTGAGCTCGAGGCTACAGGTGGTAAGTGGATATACATATGATGAAGGTACACAAGAAGAATTATGAAAGCAATGGAAGCTTGCATTAGAAAATAGTGGTGCTCTCTCTCTCTCGTCTTGTGCTTTTTTTATTTTTTTTTATGTTTTCTCTGGGCTTGTTATTACTGAAACATGAGTTAGTTACGGACCACTTTTCAAACTGTTTTAGCTAGTTATTCCTGAAGTTTGTGATAAGTTGTAAAAAGACTACATTTTGAATTAAATGCATAATGTTCACTTCTTAGTACCCTTTAAGATAAGAAGCCAATTTGAATCAGATTTTATCTTTTTGTAGCAGCATCAATTTGCTCCTCTACAGCTCTACTAGGTCCGTGATGTTGAGTAAATAACAAATGACTTGTCATACAATTGCTAGTTAAATGACTTGTTCATTCTCTTTATTTCTTTTTTCCTCAGGCTTTGTATTAAGAGAGTCATGTAACAACTAGCACGTGTTTGCATGCTATGAATAAGCAATCCCGATAGCAGCGGTAGAGTTTAAATAAGAACTTCTCCAGACTCATAAAGTTGCAGCTCAGGTCAACCAACATGCAAATCGGCTGCCCTAAAATCATATGTTTATATACAGTTACATCCTTTACAACTCATTCCTTGAGCATCCAAATCTTGATTTTTATATGGACACTTATGGTCCATGAAAAAGGAATACATTCTGTTGAGTTGCACAATCTGCACCAGAAACAGTGTTTGAGGTCAATTGTTCTAAATAATAGACTGCCATAAAATTACTTGAGGCAAAAATTGCACTTTTTGCATTCCTTGATTTTTGGACACAATTTATGTGCTGTGACTCTGGTTGATAGTTGAGATAAGAGGTTGCCAGGGTGCCTATATGTATAAGAACATTTTTTTTTCCCTAAAGATATATATATATATATATGTATAAGAACTTGCTAGGGACTTCCTTTCTAGTAACCAAAATCTGCTACTGCTTTGAGAGGTCTGTGGTACGTCTGCTTCATGGCTTCCTCCAGGGGAAAAGGACAAAATGAAGACGGAATATTAGCATCAGCACAGAGCTTGGCACGAATAGTATGAAAAAGAAGAACGAGTGGCTTGCTACAAATTGAAGAATTTAAAGAATAAGAGGGCGTAAATCGCTATCCAGTAAGGAGATCATACATGTTCTCTCAAACTTTGACATTCAATTAAAAGAAATCATGTTGTAATTTGGAAACAATGATGAGTTCTTGTGACAGGATTAAGATGTTCTATTTTGAGAAAAGTGATAAAGAACAGTCGAATCTGAGATAGTTTATTAATGCAAGGTCTTGATAAATGGTTAGAGAATGATGAGGCTTCCTTCACATGGGAAGTGAATATCCCCCTCTTCCTGTCTGATTTGTGAATTTAAAAGTTCAAATTTCAAAATTTCTGGACTGAGTTTAGATTGGGCTATATGGGGTGAACCAAAATTTGTGGCAACAATTAGATTGTGTAGCAACAAAAAAAAATTCATTACAATAAACTAATTTTGTGGCAACAATTAGATTGTGGAGTAACAAAAAAAATTCATCACAATAAACTTTTTGCGACTAATTTCATACATTTAGATGAACCATATAGATTGAAAGGAAACATCCCACCAATTTTTACTTAACTTTAAAGTGTTTGACTACTTAATTTATGTACTTGAATTTTAATTATAACATTCAATGGCTATAATTAATTTTGGGGAAAGTATCTGAAATTCACAAAAATTATTTGGTATTCCTAGGTAAAATGGATTCACAACAAATTTTCGTGATATGGATTTAAATTTTTTTTTTTGATGACTCTTCCAGAGATCGTAAAAGATCTGAAGAACGTTAGGAAATGGATGGGACTGAAATTCAGAATGAATTTCAAAGGGGCAATGTAAAGGCACAAAAATAGAAATCCAATCTCAAATAATAAAACCTGAGTTTCTTGTCAAATGACCCAAAAAATTATAATAATAATAATAAAATAAAATAAAAAAATCTCAAATAATAAATAATTACACATAAACACAAGATTTAAAGTGTCTAGAGACAGTTTATAAGTGAGTCCACAAATGATAAGAAATTCAATAACTTTAATTTAAAATATAAAAATGCACCTTTTAGAGGTCTAAATTCTCAAACTTTTGGGCCTTAAAATAGAGAAACTAAAACAAGTTCCTGTTACGGAAAGTATTGCAACCTTTTTTAGCCCAAAGATGAATCGTTGTGTACCTGTTTGATTGGCTTGTCAATTAAGTTGACTTTTCTGTTGGGTCGGTTGTCTGAAGCTTATGAATTTTGCAGATCCTTGCCCAATGCCCAACTTCAAATCTGTCTCCCAAACATTATTCCCTATCTCTGTAAATATATATGATTCTGTCTCTAACTCTCTACAAGAAATGGCTTCTGGAGAGACAAGTGGTGGCGATGAAAAGTACGATTCACGCTTCGGATCGATCTCAGCTTTCTTGAACCCAACCGCCCGTTTTGGTCCCACGTCTAACCCACCGCCAGAGTCGCCAACGGATGACGTAGAGTACGATTTATGCGCCGAATCCACCTCATCTTTCTTGAAACCAACTGCCCGGGTGCTTGATCCACCACCACCCGATCGAGCAGTGGTGGTGGAGAGAGAGCAAATGTTCGACAAGGTCGTGACGCCGAGCGACGTGGGCAAGCTCAACCGACTGGTCATCCCTAACCAACATGCCGAAAAGTACTTCCCGTTCGATTCGTCGACGAAGGAGAAGGGAATCCTCTTGAATTTCGAGGATCGGAACGGGAAGCTGTGGCGGTTCCGTTACTCCTACTGGAACAGCAGCCAGAGCTACGTAATGACCAAGGGCTGGAGACGCTTCGTCAAAGAGAATAAGCTTGTCGCCGGCGACATCGTCTCGTTCCAGCGCGGTATCGGCGATTCCTTCAAAGACCGGCTCTACATCGACTGGCAGCGCAGCCCGACTCTTTCCACCACCGAACCTATGCTTGACCTATCTCTCTACTCTTTCGACCCGTCTTCAAGACCAATTTCTTCCCCTCGGGTTGATTACACCGTCTCGTCCGAGACACTGAGATCTGAGCTCACTCACGCCGACGAGATCAACCGCTCTGCACATAACCCAAAGAAACGATCCAAAGGGCGTGTAAAAATCTATATTTGCACCCCCACCGAATTCCAAGCCCTTGTTCAGGAGTTAACTGGGGTTCGAGCATCACCCTCCATATCCTCATCCCGACTTGCAGAAAGCGAGAAGACGAAAATGGCAGAGCTGGCCCCAAACACGCCAAGTGGTGCTTCGGGATTGTCTGGGCCTCTTGCAGGAGGCGAATTCGAAGTCTTCTTGAGTTTCAGAGGCCCAGACACCTGGGACACTTTTACCGCTTACCTATACAGCCAACTCAGTGGGGTAAGTGTTCGAACCTTTGTAGACGATACCGAGTTTCGCGGAGGAGATAAGTTCCGCCCGGAACACCTCACAGAATCGAAGGTCTCAATCCCAATCTTCTCCAAAAACTATGCCTCGAGTCATGGGTGCCTCCGCGAGCTCGCCAAGATGGTGGATTGCAAGAGAAGCACGGGACAGCTCATTTTACCCATCTTCTATGATGTTGAACCATCGGATGTGAGGCATCAATCTGGGAGTTACGAGGAAGCCTTTCGCAAGCACGAGAGGTGTTTTGATGAAAGGACTGTTGAAGAATGGAAGGAGGCGCTGAGAGAGGTTGGGGCACTCAAGGGTTGGCAAGTGAATAAAGAAGATGATGATGGGTAATTCACTCACTCTTGCCCAGAAACCCTAATTTATTTTATTTTATTTTATATATATATAGCTTAAGAACTTCATAACCTTGTTGGAATTCAGTAATTCATAAACCTTAGCAAGAAGTTTAATTTCAGGCAATTTGTAGGATTGCAATTCAGAATCAAATTGAATGGGACAAAAATATAAGAACAACTTCAATATGATTGGTTTTGCTTTGCGAGTCAACTAGGCACTAAAATAACTTCTACCAGTACCAAAGTATTCCATAAGTCTAAAATAAATAACTTTTAACTTAAACTCGACCACACTGTAAAAAGCAGAATTCACCATTCTTATGAATACTCTTAACTTAGGTGGTATCTCCTCCTTTCAAATAGAAACTTAGGATTCAAGTCCCACTTGGAGGCACTTGTGAGTTTGTTTGAGTTGAGCTTACAAATAATTTACCCAACATAAATAAATAAATAAAAAGGAAAGAAAAGAAATCATCATTTCCACCCCCTTTAGCCCTTATTGTTTACTTTGATTTCCTTCTAGGGGCTAATTATTGGTTTCATTCCCCCCTTAGCTTTAATCAGGTATCCAGGAAAACTAGTAAAATAAAAGATTATTCCAGCAGTGTTAAGTCGAAGACGAAATACATGGTTGTAACTGAAAATTTGGTTGGAATCAATCATTGCGCAAATGAAATAACCAGACTATTAAATACTGTTCCGATGATGTAGGAGTTGTTGGCGAGATAACTATTGCCAAGTTTAAGGGCTTTTCTCTCTCTCTCAGTCTCTCTCTCTCGGTGAAGAAGTATTGCCAAGTTCATATACAATAAACTCTTGGAATCCATGTGGTAGCTTTCTTGAAGGGAAATTCCTCCAAAAGAATTTTTCTTTTTTATGTGCGTAAACATTCTCAATTTTGTATGCTTTTGGAAAACTGTAAATGGTTTGGTTCACAAAGTAGGATAATAGTTTCAAGTTTTCAACTAGAGAAAAAATATGTTTTATATCTTCTAAAGTGAACGAGATTTATGAACCCTCAGAATTGGACGCTGAGCAATCTGTTCGACTTTTCAGCATGCATGCCTTCAAAATGGAGTTTCATATGTTAGTATCTCTAGAAAGGTTATGTCAAGTGCTGCAGGACTTCCTCTGGCTCTTATGGCCATAGGTTCTTTTCTATCTATGTGTTTTTTTTTCCTTCCTAGTTTCTATTCTATCTACGAATGGGAAGCTACATTGCAGGAGTTGAAGGAAAGACCAAGTTATGCAGTGATGAATACATTGAGAATATGTCATGATGGACTAGATTATGTGCAACAATAATTTTTTCTCGATATCTCATGTAATTCTATTGGACTGGATTAAAACATATGTATGCATTTTACTTTGGGATGATTGAGGCTATCATTAGGAGGGCAAAATAGATGTCCTTTTCGTAATGTCTGAAGTAAAATTGAGAGATGACAATGTATTGAGGATGCATGATCTCTTGGAGACCTTGGTAGCGACATCATCGATCAAGAAATCATGTATCCAGGAAAGCATAGCAGGTTCTGGAATCACAAGGAAGCCTTGGGTGTGTTGCTGACATGAATGGTAAGATTTTAGTGCATTGAATCTTATGCTTTTTATTTATATAATTGATGTTTTGTTAATTCTCATTCATGTCATCTCATATTATACATATGCATAAATGGTGTTCATCATATTGTCAACACGGGTGTTGATTTTATGCCCACTATCTCATTTTTATGACAATTAAATAATGAGAATTCTAAACTCCAGATTGAATTGTTGGTTTCCATTGCATGGTTGGTATTGGAATGAATAAACACTGCGAAGTTCATCTGCAACAAACTCTACAGGAGCTTTGAATGTCGTAGCTTTCCTGGAAATGTTCAAGAATGGGTGCAACATCGCATTAATCTTCTAAGGTTTTAGGAACAACTTATTGATACCCTAAATTGCGCCCTGACATTTCTGGTGTTAACAGTGAAATTGAGCTGACTAAAAACACAAATTTTTCAAAAAGAAAGTTTTTGACGATTTGATTGAATAAGTCACAATTTGATTGTCTTCGTGGGGAACGTTGGTTGGTTTGGCCAGGATCATTGTTGCAACTAGAGATGCATGTTTCAAATGCTTCTGAAGTGAATGGGACTTATGAAAGCCCATGTATGAACCCTGTGCAAGCTCTTGAACTTTCAAAAACAATGTTTCGGCCGAAAGAATATGATAGCATCTTTGGAGAAATTAGATCCACTTCTACAGGGCTTCCTCTAGTGCTCGAGGTTGTAGGTTTGTTTCCATCAGACAAGAAGAAAGTGGTATAGAAAGATACATTGAAGAAGATGAAGAGAATACCAAGTGATCAAGTGAAGGATTCATCGAGAATAAGTTATGATGCACTAAATTATGAGGAACAGCAGATCGTTCTTGATATTACTTGTTTTACTTTTATTGAGAAGGATAAAACATATGATTTTACATGTGGGGTGAATCATGAATGTGGCTATCATTTAGAGGACATTGATTGATGTCCTTTGTTCAATGTCTTTAGTAAAATGGAAGATGATTGTATGTTCGGAGTCCAATGGGTTATGTCTCAGTCTTCGAGGGATTTGATTGATGCTTGGAGAGGTTGCAGCGTGGGGTCCAGGTCCGGGATTTTTGAAGGGCGATTCCCCTCTGCGTTTGTTGGTGTAATTGGAAGGAGCGGAATAGAAGATCTTTTGATGGGGGAGGAATCCTCCATTGGGGCTTTGAAATTTCTTATTATTAGTTCTCTTTTTAGTTGGGTGACGGGGAGAGATTGTAAATTTATAGAGGAAATGGTTGATTTTTTGGGTTCCTTGGGTCCTTAGAATCCTTTATTTGGCTTCTGCCCTTCTATAGTCTTTGGGATGCATTCCCCTTTTGAACGCTTTCTAATATATTCTTACTTATAAAAAAAAAAATTTAAATAATGGAAGATGACTGTAAGGAGTTGTGTATTCGTGATTGGCTTAGAGATCTTGGTAGGGAAATCGTCAAAAAAAGACAAAAACTTTCAAGAATCCAGGAAAAAAGTATTATGCAATGGGATCAAAAGGAAGACTTGGACATATTGGAGATACGAAGGGTATTATTTGAGTGCAAAGAATTTTACGCGTCTTATGAAATAATTGAATATTTTCTTCATCCTCATTCATGTCATCTGTTAATAGACATGCATAAACACACTTGCACACAATAAAATGGAGTTCATGCTGTAAATCTGTTCTTAATATGGTGTTGGCTTATGTTTTAAGTTTTCCATTGTTAGGGAACGGATAGGATTGAAACCTTCAGTCTTCTCTCTGTAGAGATGATGTCTCAAACTTTGCTTTAAAAATGAGGAATTCACGAAAATAGTAAATTAAACAACTGAGGAATTCACGAAACTTAAAAATTAAGGTATCTCCAAGTGGATGGTGCCGACTTTGTTGGGTATTTTAAGCATCTTTTTCCCTAGCTAAATGACTTAATCGGCGTGATTGCCCTCCTTATTTTAGACCAACTAGTTTTCATTTGAAGAATCTAGTCATTTTTTTATCTATACCAAGTGACATCATTGAAGACTGGAAGGTTGAAATCAAATCGAAGTCTTGGTGGTATATCTGTACTTTGTTTCTTGAGTCCATCCAATTAATTGTTTGAAATTATTATTATTTTTAATAAACTTTTGGTTCCTTTTTCCTTTTGTTTTTTTGCAAATGGCATAAAAGTTGAAAGCTCTCGATCTCAGTTATTGTGCTCTAAGGAGAACTCCCGACTTTTCAATACATTCAACTTTACTGAGATCCCAGTTATTGTGCTTTAAGGAGAACTCTAGACTCATATGCAACTTTAGAGAGATTAATTCTTTGATTCTGTAAAAGTTTGGTCGAAATTGACCCATCATTGGTCATCTCCAGAATTTAAAGGTGCTCGACATTTCAAGGTCTTTCAATATAAGGATGTTACCTGCAAGGAAGTTACTTGATGAAAGTTTGAAAAATCTAGTTAGTCTCGATTTGTCACAGTGACATCACAGAAGACTGGGAGTGTTGGAATCAAATCAAGGTCTCATAGAATATCTCTGCTTCATTTCTCGTGTCCCACCATTTAATTGTTTGATATTATTTCTCACTCTCTTTTTTCCTTTCTTGAGAAGATGGCAATAAGGTTGGAAGCTCCTGATCTCAGTCATTGTGCTTTAAGGAGAACTCCTGACTTTTAAACATATACCACTTTTGAGAGATTGGTTATTCGATTCTGCAAAAGTTTGGTCAATATTGATCAATCCATTGTTTATTTAAAAAACTTAAAAGTGCCCGATGTTTCAGGGTGTCTTGGTATAAGAAAGTTAACTGATGTAATTGGATGTTGGAAGACCTGGAAGTGGTAAGCGAAGATGAAGTCTTTTTGAGTTTTAGATGCCCAGACACCTTCACCATTTCCAATACAATGATCTCAATGGTGTACAAGTTTGCACCTTTCGAGATTATTATGAACTTCGCAAAGGAGAAGAGAGCAGAACATAGCTGCTCAAATCAATCAGGGAGTCAAAGATCTCCATCCCAATCTTGTCTAAAAACTTTAGTACATGGTGCCTTTGCGATCTTGCTCAGATGGTGGAGTGCAAAAGAACTATGGGACAAGTGATTTTACCCATCTTCAATGTGTGAACATCGAGATCCAATGAAAGCCAACAAAGCAATCACACACAAGCACAAGATATAACGTGGTTCGGCCAAAATCTGTCTAATTCACAGATAAGAAGAGATTTTGTAGAGATATCATAGTAGTAAAGTAACACCGTGTATATGTCTTTTCACCATGTACCACTCCACGATCCTAACTCCTCGCTACTGGTGTTTTTACTACTCTACCAATCCATAATGTATCTCTACCCAATCAACTCCCCCATGAGATTACATCTCTCTTAATCTCACAAGTCTCAACCCCAAACCTTGGTATTTGTAGTCCTAAACCCAATTCCTTGGAGCCCAAGACATATTTAACAATAAATTACCTAGCAAAATACAACTCTAAAGTAGAAATCTAATTCAATTAGGAATGTGAGACGATATTCCCAACATTCTCCACTTGGCTCAAATTCCATCTAGCCAATCATCGCTTCCCACGACATTGTTCAGGATAAGTTATTGCAACTTCAATCTTGCACACAAACCAAACCGCTCTTTAGGGACTTTCACTCACGGACCATCTCTTTGATGTTGTCTGATTTAGGGACTTTCATCCAAGGAATTAGTTCCTCCCAGTTTGATTTAGGGACTTTCACACAAGGAGCCAGTTTCTTCTTACTCTTTAGGTGCTTGCCAAGATATCACGATCCTTTTACAAAACTATGATAGTCCACACTGTATGTTGCATCAAATCTCCAAGGCTCCACTTTGACTACTTGAGCTCCATGCCAACCATCATGATCAAACAAGTCGATTGATTGACTCCACTTGCAACTAAAACCCATTGTAGTACCTGTTGAGACTTCTTATGTTTTCTGAATCTCCTTCACCTTTAACTTTGATACCAATTTGTTGGGGCTGCGGAAGCGCGCTAACAACGAGATTCTAATGAAATCCAACAGAGCAATCACAACACAAGATATACGTGGTTTGGCCAAAATCGTCTTACATCCATAGATGAGAAGAGATTCCGTAGAGATATTACAATAATAGAGTACCATTACCGTATACATATCTTTTCACCATACATCACTCCACGAGCCTATCTGCTCGCTACTAGTGCAACTGGTGTTTTCACTACTCAACCAACCTATAATGTATCACTACCCAATCAACTCTCCTATGAGATCACATCTTTCTCAATTTCATAACTATCAACCCAAAACTTTGGTACCTATTTATGGAAGTCCTAAACCCAATTCCTTGGAGCCCAAGACTTATCTAATAAGAAATTGCCTAAACAATATATAACTCTAAAATGGAAACCTAATTAAATTAGGAATTTGAGACAAAAATCCCAACAGGATTGTTGAGGATTGGAAGGAGGCAGTGGGAGAGGTTGGAGCATTAAAGGGTTGGGAAGTCGAGAAACAAGGTGATGAGTAATTGAGTGCACACGGTCCGATTTGGACCGGATTAGGAGTATTTTGGGACCAAATTATTTATAACGGTTTCACTATTTTTGAAATCAGACCGAACCATAATGTCCATGGAACCAAACCAAACCACGAAAAACCGGTTTGGTTTGGTTCGGTTTGTCGGTTTCAGTTGATTTTCTTTTTATTTTATTTTAATTTAGAGGGGGCAAAAAAAAAAAAAAAAATCAACTAACATTGATATAACACGCAAAAAAAAGAATTTTAAGAAGAAAAAAAGAAAGAAAATTGAGACATATTTGAAAGGAAAGGAAAGGAAAGGAAAGAAAATTGAGCTATATTTGAAAAGGGAAATTTGACTTTTTTTAAAAGAAATTTAAAGAACAAAAGAAAGGAAGGGGGCACGTGAGAATTTTACTTGATTTAGGTTTAGGATATGATATGCATATATAAATATAAATATATATATATATATATATATATATATATATATATATCATATAACATAGTAACGGTTAGGTCTGAGCTGGTCCGGTCCAGCACGACCCTAAACCAGGACCGAACCGAAAAATTACGGTTCAATAATTTTGGGTCCAGGACCGGATCAAACCACTATACAACTAGCTCAAACCGCCCAATTCAATACGGTCCGGTCCGGTTTTTCGGTTTACTGGATTTTTTGAACACCCCTAAGTAATTCATTCTTCCTAATATGGAAGTCCTAGACCCAGTACCTTGTTGGATAAGGATTACAATTCCTTGGAGCTCAAGACTTGTGTAACAAGAAATTGCCTAAACAATATACAACTCTAAAATGGAAACCTAATTAAATTAGGAATTTTGAGACAAAAATCCCAACAGGATTGTTGAGGATTGGAAGGAGGCAGTGGGAGAGGTTGTAGCATTAAAGGGTTGAGAGGTTGAGAAACAAGGTGATGAGTAATTCATTCTTCCTAATAAGCCCTTTATTCTATAGCATAGAAACCTAAAAAAATTGTAGGAATTCAAGAATCATATACAATAGCAAGAATCTTTAGGCTATTGGTAGAATAGAAATTCAAAATCCAATTAGAGGGACAAACAAAAGTATAATTGGTTTTCTGAATTAATGAGTCCCTAAAATAACTTAAAGTTCTGTATTAATTAATTCAATACGTCCAAAACTTTGTTACATAGACTTTTCACAAGTAGGTGAAATACTCTTGTCGGACACGCATTACACGTACACGAGTATGGGATGTGTGTTGAGACACTTTGGTTGGGCATACACCTACCAAGCAATAAATTAGACTAGTGCATGAGGCTCCTGCTATTGCGGGGAGGGTCAAATGTAGGCAGCCATACCTCCGCATGTGGAGACACTATTTTCTTCTTTTGACCCCATGATCTCTTGGTCACAGTGGAGCAATCTTACCATTGCTCCAAGATTCACCCTCACATGTACCTAAAAAGTATATCATATAATTTAATTTTATTATAGTGTTGTTTTAAATTATAAAGATATTATTTTATTATTTTCTTTATAATATTAATAATTAATAGTGTCCTTGTGTCCTTTTGTTTTCGGATCTGAAATGTCCAACGTGACGTACCAGCACCTGACACACATACTCGAGTACTTGTAACAGTGGTCCAAAATAATTACATGCAACTTAAAATCATTTGTCTGCTCTATTGTTTATTATGGGCCTGTTTGGCTAGTGCTTTTGCTTCGTATTTTTTGCTTTTGCTAGTGTACTGTAGCGAAGCAAAAACACGAAACATGTTTGGTAATATTTGTTATGCTTTTGAATAGTACCGAAGCGCTTCCAAAATTGAGGCCAAAATCGGAACTCGGAAGCATCAAAATGATGCTTTTGTTTGCTTTCGCACTGTAGCAAACACTGTTCAAAAAAAAAAAAAAAAAATCTGAAATAACATTTTTAACTAACCATTCAAAATTGCAACACTTTTTACCAAACATGCTTTCGTGTTTTTGCTTCTAAAAATCTTGTAACAATTTACCTTACCAAATAAGCTTCTAAATAGTGTTGAACACACTCTAAAAACAGAAACATTGCTTCTGCTTTGGGTCAAAGCAAAAGCACAAAGCAACTATGGTTGCCAAATGGGCCCTATAGTTTTCTTCTCCGCACTAATTTATTGTTTTGTTTTTCTGTTGACATCAATTAGGTATCAAGGAAAATTAATAAAAGAGATTATTGTTCCAACAGTGGTGTTAGAGTTAAAAAGGAAAAGCATGGTTGTGACTGACTACTTGGTTGGGATGAATTACCACCTAAATGAAATGATGAGATTATTAAATGTCATCTCCAACGAAGTACAAATTGTTGGTATCCATGGCATGGATGGTATTGGCAAGACAACCGTTGCCAAGTTCGTCTACAACAAACTCTTTGAGAGCTTTGAGTGTCATAGCTTCCTTGCAGATATTCAAGAAACAACGCAACAATGCAATGGTCTTTTTAATTTGCAGAAAAAGCTTCTCACTGACACCCTAAAATGGTGTCCTGACATTTCTGACATTGATAGTGGAGTCAATGTGATTAAGTACGTATTTCTCAGAAAGAAAGTTCTTCTTGTTCTTGACGATGTGACTGAAAGCTCTCAATTTGATATGCTTGTTGGAAAGCGTGGCTGGTTTGGTTCAGGAAGTAGGATCATAGTTACAACCAGAGACAGAAATATTTTAAATGATCTTAAAGTGGATGCGACTTATGAACCTCCATTTATGAATTCCCTGCAGTCTCTTCAACTTTTCAGCATGCATGCCTTTAGAAGGTATTTTCCTTCAGAAGACTATATTAGTATCTCTAGAGAGGTTGCTTCTACTGCTGCAGGGCTTCCTCTAGCTCTTGAGGTCATGGGTTCCTTTCTATCTGACAAGGAGAAAGTGGTATGGGAGGATACATTGAAGAAATTGAAAAAAATATCTCATGATGAAGTTGAGAGAAAGTTGAGGGTAATTTATGAAACATTAACTTATACCCAACAACAGATATTTCTTGATATTGCATGTCTTTTCGCTGGGATGGAAAAAGCAACGGTGTTTTACTTGTGGGATGATTGTGGCTATCATCCAGAAAAGGAATTTAATGTCCTTTGTCTCATGTCTCTTGTAAAAGTGGGAGATGCTAATGAGCTGAGGATGCATGACCAGTTTAGAACTCTTGGTAGGAAAATCGTTTATGAAGAAAAGTTTCTAGGAAATCGTAGTAGGTTGTGGGATCATGATGATGCATTGGACATATTGGAGGGACGAATGGTAAGATTTGAGCGTACTGAATTTCATACCCCTTAGTTTAATGTAAATGGTTGTGAAATCTTCTCATACTATATTATTGTTTACTTATTTTTTCTATTGGCAGGGAACAGAAAAGGTTGAAGCCCTATGTCTTTGCTTTGTATCGGGTTCTGAAAAGAAGCCTCGCTTTACAAGTAAGGAGTTCATGAAACTAGTATCTCTGAGGTATCTCCAAGCTGATGGCATAGACCTTGTTGGGGATTTTGATAATCTTTTTCCCTATTTAAGATGGCTTAGTTGGCGTGGTTGCCCTCCGCATTTTAAACCAAACAATTTTCATTTGAAAAATCTAGTCATTCTTGATCTATCAGATAGCGGCATCACGGAATACTGGGGGGGTTGGAATCAAATCCAGGTTTTGTGTGATAGCTCTACTTTTGTTTTATTCTATTCAGTCATTTACTTGTTTAAAATTAATCTTTTCTGTTATTTATTTATTTTTTACAGATGGAAAATAGGTTGAAAGTTCTAAAACTGGCTAATTGTGCTTTAAGGAGAACTCCAGACTTTTCATCATATGCAGCTCTAGAGATTTTGATTCTTCAACGGTGCAAAAGCTTGGTCGAAGTTGACCAATCCATTGGTAATCTGAAGAATTTAAAAGTGCTTGACATTTCATATGCTGATTTAAGGAATTTACCTGACGAAATTTGGATGTTGGAGAAGCTGGAAGTGATGGATTTCACACATTGTAGCTATTTGAAGGGACACATTCCTAGTAATATGGGGAGTTTAACATCTTTGAGATTCTTGAGCTTTTATGATACCAAAATTCAAAGCCTGCCATTGAGCCTTTCGAAGCTCTCTTGCCTCCAGACCCTTAAATTAGGAGATTGCACAGAGCTTCAAGCATTGCCACCGCTTCCGTCAAGTGTAACGAGCCTGGATGTACCTTGTATCCCTAATATTGGCAAATTTGCCAAATTGGAGAAATTGACCTTGGACCCCTTAATAGAAAGGTATGGAATTTATTTAAAAAATGGCTCTCTCTCTCTCTCTCTCTCTCTCTCTCTCTCTGTGTAGAGTAACTATATGGTTTTTGCAAGAGTGATTTTTCTTCATTGCTTCTTATTATCCTTTGTTTCTATATATCAATTAAGGTTGTGGTTGGAGGAGTTGATGAAATCTACAAAAGCATCATATATCATTATCATGACAAAGAGTATCGATATTATCTCCTAACAAGAAAGTTAAAATGGTTATTTACATGAGCCAACAACTAAACTGTTAACTCTCTCACACTCTGTTTCATAAACCAGTTTTGTCGTTTTGACTTTGACCTCCTACCCACGTGTCTGTGGTGGGATGTTGATGATGATAAAAATGAGGCTCAATCCGAAACCTAGACTTAAAACTATTTGAAGCCTATTTAGGTGGTTATTCAAAACCAAAAATTAAACTACTTGAATTTCATTAGGTGTGATTTGAAATCAAATGTTAAACTATCTGATGCTATTTAAGCGGTCAAGAGAGACATAATTTGAAGCCTAGTTACAGTTATCCGGAACTGAGTAGATTATCAGAAGTCTATATGATTGGTTATTGGAAATCTAGGAAATTTAAACTAGTCTAAACCCAAGGTTGGTTAATGGAAAATTAGACTTTTCTTGCCTAAAAAGGTTGGTTTAGCCTATTCAAGGCTTAAAATGTTGGGTATCTGAAACCTGAGAAATTTATACTTTTCAAAGTCTAAGAAGGACACATCTATTCCAAGCTAAAAGATTGTTTTATTGTTTATGTTTATTGAGGATTTGTTTTTTTAAAATAAAAATAAAAATAAAAAATAAAAATAAAAAATGAGGTTGAGGCATGATTCACAGTTTTCTTAATTTACTTTCTTACTCTTATTTTTTATAGGTTTCCTGAAAAGCGTAAAATGGGCATAAGGCTACAAGAGGCAAGTGGTGGTGCTGTTGAGGGAGAGAAGAGGAGGAAGATGGAGGAAAGCTACAAGGGAGTTCGAAATATGCAGTTGGGGAATTATGCAGTGAAGATTCAAGACCCCTGGCAAAAGCTGCGCGTGTTCTTCAAGGCTGTGAATGCATTCCGAGGAGCCAAATACTACACAGATAAGCACTAAGAGTGGGATTTGTCTTACTATGCAGATAAACAGAGCTCACAGCACCAAGAGAGGGGTCAGAGAGCAAAGAAGAGCGAAAGCTCTTCTGTTACCGCGAGATTCGAGACCCCTGGAAAAAGCTCCGCTTGCTGTTCAAGGCTGTAAATGCATTCAAAGGAGCGAAACCATAGCTCAACTTCCTATTGTCCTGACATTTAGATGTTGATAGAGGAGTCTGTGATAAAGTACATATTTCTCAGAAATAAAGTTCTCGTTGTTCTGGACAATGTGACTGAAAGCTCTCAATCTGCTTTGCTTGTTGCAAAGCGTGATGGTTTGGTTCAGTAAGTAGGATCATAGTTACAACCAAAGACAGAAATATTTTAAATGATCTTAAAGTGGATGCGACTTATGAACCTTCATTTATGAATTCTCTTCAACTTTTCACCACGCATGCCTTTAGAAGTGTTAACCTTCAAAAGACTATATTAGGATCTTCACAGAGGTTGCTTCTGCTGCGGGGCTTCCTCTAGTCCTTGAGGTCTTGAGTTCGTTTCTATCTGAAAATGAGAAAGTGATATGGGAAGATACATTGAAGAAATTGAAAGAACTATCTCATGATAAAGTTGAGAGAAAGTTGTGGGCAATTTATGAGACGTTAACTTATATGCTTGTTTAAAATTAATCTTTTTCTGCTATTTTTTTTTTTTTTTTTCACTGTTGGCAGACAGGTTAAAAGTTCTACAACTGGCTAATTGTGATTTAAGGAGAACCCTAGACTTTTCATCATATGCAACTATAGAGATATTGATTCTTCGGTAATCTGAAGAATTTAAAAGTTTTTGACATTTCACTTGCCTCCACATCCTTAAATTGGGAGGCTGCACAGAGCTTCAATCCTTAGATTAGTTTTCTCTTGGTACTCTGTTTCATATACCAGTTTTTTTGTGTTTGACTTGAGCATTTCAAGGCCTAAGAAATAAAGTTGAGGCTCAATCTTTAACCCAGAATTAGATAGGTTATCGCAAACAAAAGACTATTTGATGTCCAACTATCCAAATGTTAGAGCAAATATTCAAAATCAATAGTGAGATTCTTTGAAGCCTTCTTGGGGTTTTATCTGAATCCAATTAGACTATCCAATGCCTAAAAAGTGGGTTGGCTGAAACCTTGGAAATTTAAGGCTAATTGAGGTCTATAATGTTATTGTTCATTGGGATATAGGAAACTTGGGCTATTTGAAGTATTGAAACCTAGAAATGTCAACTATTCGGGGGCATAAGAAGGTTGTTTTAAACTATTCAAAGGCGAAAAGATTTGTTATCAATTAGGGAATTTAGATTTTTTTGAAGTTCACGAAGGCTGATTAATTTTAAACCAAGGAAATTTAGACAATTCAAAGCTTAAAAATTGCTTATATTTGATGACGAGTTGAGGTTTTACTTTTCTTTTTTCCGCTTTGAAGTGAATTGATTTTAAGGCATGATATGCAATCTGCTTAATTTTTACTCTATTTTTATAGATTGGAGAAAAAATTGATTTTGATGCTACTGGAGGCAAATATAAGAATATCATTTCTTTTTAATATTATTCAAGAATATCTTTTATTTTTAATGTGACTATTCCAACTTACGCACAGAATGTAGCTTAGCCTCAGCAAAATCAAGAATTGGACAAAGTGAAGATGAACAATTGACGAAATGTAGGATGAAGAAGGAACAAGGAATGTCGATAACTTCTTCGTGCCAAGCCCACTCAGGAGCTATCAAAGCTTGAAGTTTCCAACCAGAAGGCCGTAGACAAGATTCAACAGTCAAAGCATGTTTGGCCTGAGTTTAAAATTTCCAATTATTCCAGTAATGTTTTGAACTTTCTCTTTCCACGTGGCTTGTAATAATCCTTCACATTTGCTTTTTTGGATATTGAATTTTGTAAATGTTTTTCCAAATAATTGCTTCACCACTGTTACAGTTCTCATCCTTTTCTTTTCTACTTGAGCAAGGGCAAGGGGTTTATGTAATTTTTCCTAAAAATATATAGAATTGAAATTTGCAAAGGACTTCAATTAATGCCCATGGACATAACTCTCTGTCATTTTAAAAAAAATTATTTTTCAAAGATAAAATTAAAATTAAAATTAATATAAATAACTCTTTCATGATGGTATTGTTAAAAACTACTTTCAAAAAAATTATTTAAATGAATAAATTTGTGTAAAAAAAAAATTATTAGATGCGTCTATAAGAAAATGAAAAAAACCTTGGAACAAATTTCAAAATTTTCTTCAATTTCTATTTTTTTTAAATTAAATAGAAAAGAAAATATAACATTTTAAAGAAAAACAAAATTTTTATTAAGTTGTAATTTTGTCATTATAACATCACTTTAGTGGTAAGTAATTTTTAAAATTTAATTAAAATTTTATTATTTTTTGTAAATTAAAAGGGAAAAATAAAACTTAAAATGAAAATTATTATAAATTTTTTATATTCTATTAATAATCATTTTCATCATTATAACATCACTTTAACTTTGCACCTTTATCATTTTGTTCTTAAATTTCAGTAAGGAGGATTTTGTGTAAAAGAGTCCGATTGTCCAACAGATTTTATGTAATTTACTCTTTTTAAAAAATTTATTAGGGACTTTTATTTTTCGGATGGTGAATTTTTTTTTTTATTTTTTTTATCCTGTGAAAAAAGATGCCCTTTACGGTTGACTTGACTCAGAAACTCAACTGTTGGGTTGTCTCCAACTACAGCAGGTCTATGCCCAAATCTCGGAGAGAGAGAAAGAGATATTTGAGCCTTGATGGAGAGAAAAAGACAGAGGACGATTGTCTCTGAAATGGAGTCTGATCAAGCAGTGGGTCCAAGTAAGAGGAGGATTGTATCTGAATTGGAGTTTGAGGCAAGGGCAAGTTCAAGTTCATGCAGAGCATCACTTCAAAGAGGTGAATACGAAGTCTTCTTGAGTTTCAGAGGTCCAGACACTCGCTACACTTTCACCGATTATCTCTACAACGATCTCAAAGGTGTCGGAGTTCGCACCTTTCGAGACGATGATGAGCTTCGCGTCGGAGAAGAGATCGGCCCGGAGCTGCTCAAAGCAATTACAGAATCAAAGATCTCAATCCCAATTTTCTCCAAAACGTATGCTTCGAGCAAATGGTGCCTCCAAGAGCTTGCCCAGATGGTGGAGTGCAGGAGAACTAAAGGACAAGTCATTGTACCCATTTTCTACGACGTCGCGCCGTCGGTTGTGAAGCTTCAATGTGGGGATTACAAGGATGCGTTTCTCGAGCACGAGAGGTCTTTCGATGAACACACTGTTAACAATTGGAAGGACGCATTGAGAGAGGTCGGATCACTCAAGGGTTGGGATGTGGAGAAAGAAGCTTATGGGTAATTCATCCTACTTCCCCTTGTTTATTTTATTTTTATTTGTAAAGTTCAAGCAAACGTGCACACTAACAATATTACCAGCTCGAGCAGTCACCCTCACCTTTTAGGAGGAGAGCTCATACCATTTAGACTAATGCCCCTAATATTGTCCCTAATAGTTCCTCTTATTTTATTAGTACAAAAACACTTCATAGTAGTAATAAATTTTGGAATTTAATAGATCATTGACCATAGCAAGGTCCTGGTGATGGGTGAGATTGAAATTGCATATCAATCACATGGAAAGAGAATGAATAATAAAAAGAATCTTAATACCTTCAGTATTAATTCATTCCATTAGTTTAAAACAAATAACTATATCTTAAAATCAACCCGTTTGTGAAAAGCAGAAATCATTATTTTTAGCACTGGCTCTTAACTCAACTGGTATATAATTGGTGTTTTTTGAGTTGGGTGTGTGATTGGCTTCCCTACCAAAGTAAATAAATGGATAAAAGAATCATCTTCTTTTTCTCTTTACTTTCACATTAATCTTCGTCTAGGCTGTAATTATTTGGTCTCATTTTCCACCTTGGCATCAATTAGGTACCAAGGGAAACTAGTAAAAGAGATCATTGTTCCAGCAGTGTTGCTAGAATTGAAGAAAAACTACATGGTTGTACCTCACAACTTGGTTGGAATCGATCATCACGAAAAAGAAATGATGAGATTGTTAGATGTTGACACCAGTGATGTAAGAATTGTGGTTATTCATGGCATGTGTGGTATTGGCAAGACGACTATTGCCAAGTTCATCTACAACAAACTCTTGAAGAGTTTTGAGTGTCACAGCTTCCTTTCTGATGTTCGAGAAATGGCGCAAAAACACCAGGGTCTTGTTAGTTTGCAAAAACAGCTTCTCAACGACACTCTAAATTGGAGCCCTAACATTGCTAATGTTGACAGCGGTTTAATAATGAGCAGAAACAAATTTCTTAACAAGAAAGTTCTCATTGTTCTTGATGATGTGAATGGCAGTTCACAATTTCATTCTCTTGCGGGAGAGCGTGGTTCATTTGGTAGAGGAAGTAGGATCATTGTTACAACTAGAAACAAAGATCTTTTGAATGCTCTTGAAGTTGATGGGACTTACGAACCCCCAATAATGAATCATTTGCAATCTCTTCAACTTTTCAGCATGCATGCCTTTAGAAGGGAGTCTCCTCCAAAAGACTACGACAATATCTCTAGAAAGGTTGCATCTTCAGCTGCAGGGCTTCCTCTAGCTCTTGAGGTTATAGGTTCATTTCTATTTAATAAAGAGTTAGAGATATGGGAAGGTACATTGAAGGAGTTGGAGGAAACACCGCATGATGAAGTCGAGAAAAAGTTGAGAGTAAGTTATGAAGCATTAAATCATAGGCAACGACAGATATTTCTCGACATTGCTTGTCTTTTTGTTGGGATGGATAAAAGAACTGTATTTTACATGTGGCGGGATTGCGAGTATCATCCAGAGAAAGAATTCAATGTCCTTTGCCTCTTGTCTCTAGTAAAAGTAGGAGATGCTAATAAGCTGAGGATGCATGATCAGCTTAGAGCTCTTGGGAGGAAAATTGTCTGTGAAGAAATGGTTCTGGGAAACCGTAGTAGGTTTTGGAAGCACGATGAAGCCCTATATATTTTGGAGGAACAGAAGGTGAATTTACAAATGCACTGAAATTTTCACTCTTATTTGATTAAGCGTTTATTCTAATAATTTTCACTGTTACTTTTCTTTTCTTTTTCCATTGGTAGGGAACAGAAAAGGTTGAGGCTTTAAGTCTTCGCTTTGAATTAGGATCACAAAAAAAGCCTTGCTTTACAAGTGAGAAATTCACAAAGCTAGCATATCTAAGGTATCTCCAGGTGGATGGTGCAGAACTTGTTGGGGATTTTGAGCGTCTTCTATCGTGGTTAAGATGGCTTAAGTGGCGTGGTTGCCCTTCCTACTTCAAAATAATCAATTTTCATATGAAAAATCTAGTCATTCTTGATCTATCAGATAGTGGCATCACAGAAGACTGGGGGGGTTGGAATCAAATCAAGGTGTTGTAGATATCCCTAGTGTTTTTTTTTTTTTTCGGTGTCCCTTCAAATACTTGTTTGAGCTTAGTCTTTTTCTGTCATATTATTTTTTCACAGATGGCAAATAAGCTGAAAGTTCTACAACTGGCTAATTGTTCTTTGAGGGAAACTCCCGACTTTTCATCTTATGCAACTTTGGAGATATTGATTCTTCGTGGATGTAAAAGTTTGTTCGAAATTAAACAATCCATTTGTAGTCTGAAGAATTTGAAAGTGCTTGACATTTCATGTGCTGAAATAAGGAAGTTACCTGATGAAATTTGGATGTTACAGAATCTGGAAGTGATGGATGCCTCACAATGTCATTATTTGGAGGGGGGTATTCCTGGTAATATGGGGAATCTATCAAATTTGAGCTTCTTGAGCTTTTATGATTCCAAAATTCAAAGCCTACCAAAGAGCATATTGGGGCTCACTCGACTCCAAACCCTCAATATTGGAGGCTGCACAGAGCTTGAATTGCAGCCAGGGCTTCCCTCAAGTATAAGGATTCTGAATGTCACTTATGTCCCTAACCTTACAAATCTGGTTAATTTACAGGAATTACAATTGTCCGAGTGCCATAATGTTGTGGAGATTCCTAGAGATATTGGGAGATTATCCAACTTGGAGAAACTGACCTTGGATCATACGAACATAAGGTCCCTACCAGAAGATGTTGGTGTCCTTTCTCAGCTGAAGGTACTTGATGTACGGTTCTGTGATGATCTCCAATGTATATTGGGGTTACCCTCAAGTCTAGTTGATTTATCCCTTGCATTTTGTGATTCATTGGAAAGATTGCCGGATCTATCAAATTCGAAAAATTTGTTGACTTTGTTGCTTAAGAATTGTGAGAAGCTGGCAGAGGTTCAAGGGCTTGGAGAATTAGAATCATTGACTAGTTTGTACATATTTGCGTGTGATATGCTAGCTACCTCTGAAAACATGCACAATTTGTCAAACTTAAAGAAGTTGGAGATATTATCTATTAATAATTGTTCAGAACTTGATAAGGTCCAAGGGCTTGGTGGATTGGAAATGCTGAAATATTTGGATTTGCGTGGTTGCGAGAACTTACATAAGATTGAGGGTCTTGAGGCTTTGAAATCTTTGGAGATTTTGGACGTGTTAAGGTGCACATCATTGGAAACAATACCACATCTTCCAAACACATATGTACGACGGTCCAAAGATCAGATCAGTACAGCCAATTCACATCTGTACAGGTATGGATTTATTTCTAATATTGCCTTGGATTGGAATAACATTTCCAGTAAGCTATGTGATGGTATGCTGTTACAAATCCCACCCCTCTTTTCTTGTTGACTTACTGTTTGGTTTTTGCAAAAGGTATTTTTCTTGATTGCTAGCATGCTTAATATTCTTTTTATATACCTCAGCTTAGGTTATGGTTTGAGTTAATGAAATGTTCAAAATGTCACTTATAATCAGTACTCAAGGGCAAGTATCAAAATCATTACTCCTTTCAAAGAAAGGGGACATGCCGCTAGCAGCCTCCAAAAGATATGTCAAATAACCATGGGTCATAGGAGCATGTCCATTCTCAACTAACCATGGGTCATAGGAGCATAGTCATTCTTTTGTTGCTCTGTGATTTTTTCATGTTTGGCTTTTAACCTTAACCCATGCATCCAAGGTGAAATGCCGGTTGAGATAATAATAAGTTTCAATCCTAAGCCAAGAATTAGACTGTTGCAAGCCTATTTTGGTGGTTATCAAAAACCAAAAAGTAAAACAATTTTAAGGCCAAGTGTTTGTCTAAATTAACTATTAGTTTGTCTGAAGTTATCTAAGTGGTTATTTAAAGCCAAGAGTGAGATTATTTGAAGCCTAGTTAGAGACATTTATCCAAAAGGGGAATTGAACTATTTGATGCCTAGAAGGCTGCTTATCAGAAACTAGGAAATTTAGATGGTTTGAGGCCTAAATTGATGTCTATGTGAAACCTATGAAATTTAGACTGTTCAAAGGCCAAAAGGTTTGTTGTCTTTGATTTTGAGTTAATTTTTTATTTTTTTTTTTGGTTTAATTACAGTAATTGAGGTTGAGGCATGATATGCGCCCAAATTAATTTGCTTTTTACCTTTAAATTTATAGGTATTGGACGGATTTGAGAGAGAAAAAATTGAATGTGCGGTTACCGGTGTTCAGTGGATATAGAAATGAAGCTACAGAAGAAGCATTGTTGAAGGCTTGAAGCAATTGTAGCTTATACGGTGCATAAGAGATCCTTTCTTCCTCCTCTTTTTTCTTATTATTTATTTATTTTCTTTTTTAGCTAGTTCTAAAATTCAAAATAAATTTTGTAAAAGCTACCGTTTGAATTGAAAATAGGGGGGAGTGGCTTCTGGTTTCTTTTTCTTAATTCAAATTTTACAAAATAAATTTTGTAAAAGCTACGTACGTCTAAGTTCTTGAGACTTTTTATCCAAAAGGCGACTCGGGATAATTTGGCAAAATTTTTAATCTTGGAATTGCTTGCTTTACAAAAGTATCCTCTAGTGGCTCGGTAAATGCTGCAGTTTTAGCCGAATGATGCTACTGAATTGTATTATCCCGTTGGCTTGGCTTGGAAAATTAACTTGGCTATTGGGTAGTCTTCAGATTATTACTTTCACATTCCAGAGAGAGGGTTTGCAGATCCATTGCCATAACTCCATATATATATATATATATATATATATATATATATATATATGGGTTAAATGCATAAAACACTTTGACGTATATTTTGTGTAGCACTTTCAACTCCTATTTGAAAAAGTGTACTAAAACTACCCCTATTTTTTTAAAACTGTAATACCCTTTTTACTCTTTCAAAAATGCCAAAGGGTGTGTAAGCTAATAATTTCATTGTATAGAGGTGTTATGTGAACATTAACTATATTTAATTAACTTTTAAGAATTTTCTTACCTTTGCGAAAAAGAAAATTTCTCTCTATATATTTCCGCTAACGCTGTATTATCTCTCTAAAAAAAAAAAAAAATTGTTGTCACAGTTACCAAATTAATGTACAGTATATTATATGGAATGAAAACCTTCGTTCCTTTTATAATCATAAAAAAGAAAAAAAATTATTCCCAATTAAATTTTAATATAGATATCATTTTTCATTTATAATTAAAAAATTAAATTAAAAATACTTATTCATTATATATAAACAATATATTAATTTTTTAAACTTTAGAATTTGAAATATATTTTCACAAATATATATGTGTGTATATGAATATATATATATATATATATATATATATATATAAAATTATTTACATAGCAACAAATCGGTGTTCAATCTTTATTGGAAATAAATAAATGGATGTTTAATCACCTACCGTCATCATACTATTCAAATCACGATAAAATTACTGTGGGTGCAAAAATTCTCTTAACCAAAATAGTTAAAAGAAATAATACAACTCACTCAAGAAAAATAACAGTTAACAAGAATTATCTAGAAAAAAACGTATATTACTCGATGATCTTTATTGGAGGACTAAGCCTCTATTTATATACAAAAAGGAGGTGGAATTATGGTAGGACTCGCCTTGTTTGTCCTCCAATTTATTCTATATACATCATTCTTCACATATAGAGTTCTTTCTTTTTCATAATTCTTTCCATGCCAGACTTTTCCTATATGGAACTTTCCTTTCATGTAGGATCCTTTGATTATTAGGGCTTGTTCCATCTTTAATGAATTTGGGCCGAATATAACTTGGATCGGCTAAGCTTGCTAACAGGTTGAAAGCTTAACATTAGCGATCTTGGGCTGGTAATGACTTTACTTGGGCTTGACCAGAGCTAGGCTTCTGTAATCCATGAAAGATAGATATGTACTTCTTTATTGCGTTGACGTGGACGACTCTCATTGGAGGGAGATTTTTCCCTCCACACTTTACTCCCAATTCCCTTTTTAATTAGACTACGGCTCTTAATTAAAAGGAAATTGAAGTTACACGGTTGCCAATTTTGCAAGAGGCGGTTCAAGGAGTGTCTATTGCTATTCTGACCCAAGAGCCTCTTTAAGACTTGCTTTTGCCTTCACTATGAGCACCTCATCCACTCACGACCACATAGAAATTGTAGATTCTAAGTCCACACCCTCGTTTTCCCCTACCCTTAATTGTAGATTCTAAGTCCACACCCTCGTTTTCCCCTACTCTTATTAGGGTTCCTCCTCTTAGGATTTCTAACCCTCTTGAATCTGCAAACGATTCAGCCAATCAAATGGATGATTCTTTACCTCAAGCTAAAGTATCCACCTCCGGGTCGGATAGTATCTTCACCAAAGAGGAGAAAGAAATGATTTTGTCTATTCAGCGTCTCAAGTTCACCATTGACTCTGTAATGGAGGAATTTGAAATCCCTGAAGGGGTAGAAATTGTTGAATATCCAAGGACGGCTGATTTCAGTTCAGGCAAGGGCGTCAGAGAGAATGAATTGCTTTTATCGGTTGGGCACCTTAATGCTCTTCGCTTTCCTCTTCACCCCTTCTACCACTTAGTCTTCAATAAGTTAGGTCTTGCCCCTCTTCAAGTAAACCCTAACTTTCTTCGAATAGTCTCGGCTCTTCTTGTTCGCCGAAGACTAGAGAGTCTTGACTTGACTCTCGCTGACCTATTGATTACCGACACCATCTCCAGGCATGGGACCGAGCCTGGCCGTTTTTATTTTACTTTCTCTCTTCAACAAAGGATATGTACGGACCTCCCTTCCTCCGTGAAGAAGTGGAAAGAGAGGATGATAATTGTTAAGGGAACTGGTCTGTGCATCAATCGAATAAACTCCCAATCCCTCGCATATTTGGGAAGTTAGGTATAGAATGTCTTCCTTCCCTTCATGAGAAGTGTACTGGTTGCTTCATATGTCAAGTTTTACTTTTTCGTCACACTTACGAATTTCTTAGTATTTTTTCAACAACTTTCCCTTCTCCGCAGCCAAGAAGAGACTTGTTTTCCTTGAGAATCAAGTTTGGAACAACCCCCCATCTGCAGAGGACTTTCTTTCTCCTTCCAATCTCATGGAAATTGCCTCCAGTGCTGAAGATGCTGATCTTATGGATCTGTCACTCCCCTCTTTTGACAGCTTCCTTTTAACCGACGAGGAGAAAAAGAGAGCTAAAGCTCTAAAGAAAAAGGCTGTGGAGAACTAGCCTCTGGTAGTATTATGATCTACTGAGTAGGAGAAGGAAGTAGATTAAGCTCATTTACATTAAAAGGCAAAGCTGAACCCTTCCTCATCCTTTAAATCCAATAGTGTTACTCACTCAAAGAGCAAGGGGAAGAAAGTTGGAGAAGTTGATCCTGAAGAAGAGGTGAGGGCTTTTGTCTTGGCTGAGAAAGGTGAGCCTTGGAGGCTTACCTTTTCTAGGGCAAATAAATCAGTCCTTCACTCCGAGGATTCGGTTGTTACAGATCCTTCTGCAGCACTAGCAGTCACACGGGGGGTATGGATGCCCAAAGATGAAGAAATTATGGGTAACATGGGGCTAGACCAGCTTCTTCCTTCTGCACTAGTTCGTGCTGTGGAGGTTTATTCTTTTCCCTCATTTGTTAGTTCCTTAGCTTTTTTTCCACTTTACTTACACTGTTATTGCTATTATTGATTGTGTAGAGCCTATACCACACTATGGCCCTATGGTCCACAATTGAGGCTCAGTCTCTTTCTATCAAGAAATTGGAAAGGGACCTTGCCAATGCTGAGAAGAATGCTTCTAATGCAACTCTGAATGTAAAGATAGCCTCTGAGGCGAGGGATGTTTACAAGAATCACTTGGCAGCATTTGAGGCTAAGGTGGAGGCATTGGAGGCTGAGAACCAGCATTTGAATGATGCAATTGGCACCTGTATCACTGTTGGGAAACAGGTGCAAGGACACTACTCCACATTGGTACGCTTATCCAGCGCAAAGGCCTTCAAGTTCGGCTTCAACCAAGGCTCAGGTGACAAACTGAAGGACCCAGAGGCTTTTGATGCTGACATGGAAGTGTCCTTCCCTTATGCTGAGGGTCCACAGGCCCAAGAAGCTGAGATGTTATTCGCTGAGATGGTAAAGTCTCACTAAGATGATCATCCAGCTCCAAGTTCGTCAGCTCTTCCATCTTCAAGCCCATTAACTCCTCTAGCCTCAAGTCTGAATTTGGTGGACGCTTTTGATTCTGCTCCTTTTGACCCCAAAAGGAAGTGAACTTGTATAATATTTGCTCTGAAACAACCTATTTTTTTGCTTGTAGACAGTAATTATTATAATTTTTATATTTACTTTTAAAAATTTACATATCTATAAATATTTCTGAGCTGCATATACTTGCTGAGTAATTTATCATGCCTTTGAGAAAGATTCATTTTCTCTGGAAACTTTGGACTCCTATGGTTCGAAGCAAAAAACGGGGAGTAGTAAGAAGGGAGTTCCTATGACAATTCGGTCACCAACTGAGGAGTGTTCTACCATTTAGTGATATAACTGTCAAGGGAACCCTTCTTGCCCTTAACTTATATGAGGTAGGTATATCAATACTCGTTTTTCTTGTATTATTTCGATGTGGGACAAACTTCTTTTAATGGGCCTAACACTATTGGGCCAGATATTGGGGCCTGAAAGTGAGGTGTCAATAAAGAATATTTGCCCCCATTTGGGTTTAAACCCATTGGAGTACCTTCGGACTCATGAAGTCCGAGTTGTTAAGTTTTTCAATAGTTATGTATTCCTTAGAGGAATATTTCATTGTTGTCTTTGACGTATTAGGATCCGAATCGTTGATTTCCTCGGCAATGAGAGGAATTGTATTATACCAGACACTTAGGGTCCGTAACATAAAAGTCCTCGGCAATGCGCCTGAGAGGAACTGTATTGTACCGGACATTTAGGGTCCGAAGCATAAAGTTCATCGGCAAAGAGTCTGAGGGGAATTGTATTGTATCGGACACTTAGGGTTCAAAGCATAAAGTTCCTCGGCAATGAGCCTGAGAGGAATTGTATTGTACCGGACACTTAAGGTCCGAAGCATGTAGTTCCTTAGCTATAAGCCTGAGAGGAATTGTATTGTATCGGACACTTAGGGTCCGAAGCATGTAGTTCCTTGGCTATGAGCCTGAGAGGAATTGTATTATATCAGACACTTAGGGTCCGAAGCATATAGTTCCTCGATTATGAGTCTGAGAGGAATTGTATTATATCAGACACTTAGGATTCGAAGCCTATAGTTCCTCGGTTATGAGCCTGAGAGGAATTGTTTTGTATCATTCGGACTCTTAAGGTCCGAAGTTTGAGGTGGAAAAATACCACATATGTAGAAGTCGCAGCAGGCGAGGCCGAAGATTTAAAAATGATAGGAGGCCACGAAAAAGAGTAACCGTGGTTGGGAAGTCTCCCATTTGTTTGTTTGGGAGACTATCTTCCATGGAGACTCTTTTCGTGGCCTCTAGATGTGGTGAGCCACGAGTATATGAACTACACACTCTTCTTATTTCCGATCGATAAAGGACAAAAATAGAGTTTAGAGTGTGGGCCAGAAATTTGAGCTTAAAAAGAAAGAATTATTGCAAAGAATGCCCGCTGGTACTAAGGGTTTGAACCCAATTTGGGCTGGGCCGTTTCTGTTACCAGCGGGCCCTCTTTGCAATGCATTCAAATACTTTAATATTTCCCTATATAAAGAAATGTATAAAGGTATTTTTTATCGATTTGGGATAATAGTAAAAGTAAGTTTTTGCTTAAAAACTCAAAGTAGATTCCAAAAATGAACAACTATTGTGTCTAATTGAAGATAGTTTCCACAAATAAATAATTGTTGATATTCTGTCTATTTGTCTGTGTTTTCTTTCTTTTCGTAACATCGATACATAGTAAGGTACTAGTCTTGCCCCTTTTTACGAAAAGAAAGAAAAACTATAAAAATATAAAGTGAAACAGCATCCTCCACCGAGTATTAACATGTGTGTAAAAAGTGACCACTCATGCGGATTGATTACTTGTAGATGCAAAGAAGATCGTTGAATTCACAGAACCGTTGATCACACGTGTACCCAACGCCATCTATTACGGGA